TATATATATTATACATTTAAACAGGGGCAGATACAAGATTTTTTCTTCTTTCTGCTATGTTTCATTTTTATTTGATATGTATATTTTTTGCATGTGAATTTGTTTGTTTTTAAATTAAATGAATAAATATTGTCAAAAAAATTAGCGGGAAAGCTTTCCTCTTCATAAAAATCTGTTCCAAATTGTGTCAAAATTACAGACTTCAGGCTATTCATCAAATTTTTAATTGTGTTGATAGATATATAAATTACAGAACCTTTTTTTTAATGTTCATCATACAGTATTTGAAGCAGAGAGCAGCACCAGTCAGACTGATTGCCTGGTGGCATTAATCGTATTAATCGTCAAGTGGCAAAAAAATAATCGATTAATATTTTTCTGATGATTAACTGCACACGATACGATTATGCCCAACCCCAGTTCAAACTAACACGCCACCATAATAGAAGAATGGCATGAGGAACATTTGCCATCAGATAAAATGTCAGCCCATAGATGTTCTAATGAACAGATGAAATACACCATCCCAGATTTGCATTCAGTCCCAGACGGCCTGCATAAGGGAAGCTTTACATTTAATTCCAGGTATGTTTTGAAAGTTATAATCTTATAAATTCTGCACACCTTTTCTCCAGTTTTACACATCTGTCTGTCCCCTTAGACTGGTTCACCCACTTCACTGCCACCCCACCAAAAACCTGACATTCAGGCTGCTTATCAGGCATTCTGTCAGCCAGCCTGTTATCATTCTGTCGAAACGTCCAACTGCTCTCTGACTACCTCCACCTCCGCATAAACTTCCTGGGGCTGGCACTAACTGTCCTCCTCCCCTCCATCATTCCCCCCCACCTCTATCTGTCTGCCTGCTTCCCTTTCAATTTCCCTCTTCTATCTATAGGTGTTCAGTGTTTGCAGCTTGCTTAACCTCACTGCTTTACAGCTGAGTTTATCACGCCATGCTGTGGGACGTTTATCAGTTTGATGAAAACGAAAAACTATTTATAGCTCTCATTATGGGGGTTTACAGTAAACTGGATTGTCTTTCTTACATCGTCAACTTCGCTTCACCCTAAAAGCGATGGTAGAGAAAGGGTGAAAGAGCAAGTGCGAACTTGCATTCACTCTCGTAGCAGCATTTTATAATCCGGTCTATCACGTGACAACTGTAAGGCAAATAATTAAGCGTGGTAGTGAACCGAGAGCAAAACTTCCTCCAACACAAACACAGGGTTTAAAAAACATTCTAATTAGATTTTGTATGAGCTGATGTCTGCTTAAACCGTAGATCATTTAATGAATACACTTTTAAAAAGAAATACTTTTTAGACTAAGAAGGTTCTAGCACAAACAGCGATAAAGCCTTGATCCCTCTATTTGTTTGCACAAAACCTATTTTGTATTTCCAGCAGATTCAGTTATTTTACAAAAGAATACTTGACAAAATGCTGAGCATGTGGCCTGAAAACCTTTTGGTAAATATTGATGCTTATGCACAGTGGTAAGCTTGCTTTGTAAGTTTCAGCATAACAAAGAAGGCAAACAAACCAGCACAAATACAAGTTTCTGAATTGTACAAAGATGCAACTTTCTCACAGATTGGCAGCTGAATATAAATTTACAGATTAGAGAAAAGCACATCA